ACATCAAACATCAACATCAAACATCAACATCAAACATCAACATCAAACATCAACATCAAACATCAACATCAAACATCAACACATCAACACATCAACATCAAACATCAACATCAAACATCAACATCAAACATCAACATCAAACATCAACATCAAACATCAACACATCAACACATCAACACATCAACACATCAACACATCAACACATCAACATCAAACATCAACACATCAACACATCAACTCTCAACTCTCAACAGATCAACTCTCAACTCTCAACACATCAAAACACCAACACTTCAACACTCTCACCAATTCTCACCAACATGTTTGCTCTACGCCTGAATGAAGGGTGTCAATTTCACTACGCGAAAGGACTATCGGACCGCAAACCATCAGTGCAGAACATTTGGGAACCTCCCCTTTGATAAAAATGACACTTTCGTTGTTATATAATGTTGGCCATTGAATTTGGGACGATCTATCTAGGGCTCATTCTATCTGTCCAATGATGATCCTTCGGAAAAAGAAACAGACTATGAGGAGGTTGGGCAGGTCTTTGCTTCTTCGAATACTGTTGAATATCGAATACTGGTCTCTAACACCACGAAGAGGTGCCTGCACATTGCTAGAGGGCTTGTTAACGCAGCAATCCCCTGCAAAGCACGTTTGTTGACGCAGAGCTCGTCCTGCGAAGCACCTTCTTACACTCGCGGGGCTCAGGGCAGCGAGGGAGCACATTTTTACAGTCACAGGGCTCATTGGCTGTGAGGGAGCACATTTTTACAGTCACAGGGCTCATTGGCTGTGAGGGAGCGCAAATCTTACATCGCTGGGCTCGTGGCAGCGACAGCCGTGGTCACGGAAGGTCTGGAGTACTTGGTTTCGCAGAGCCCATCCTGCGAAGCACACTTGTTGACGCAGAGCCCATCCTGCGAAGCACACTTGATCACGCAGAGCCCATCCTGCGAAGCACACTTGATCACGCAGAGCCCATCCTGCGAAGCACACTTGTTGACGCAGAGCCCATCCTGCGAAGCACACTTGATCACGCAGAGCCCATCCTGCGAGGCACACTTGATCACGCAGAGCCCATCCTGCGAAGCACACTTGATCACGCAGAGCCCATCCTGCGAAGCACACTTGATCACGCAGAGCCCATCCTGCGAAGCACACTTGTTGACGCAGAGCCCATCCTGCGGAGACTCTTGTTGTCGCAGATGTCCCTGCGGAGACTCTTGGTGTCGCAGATGTCCCTGCGAGGCGCTTTGTTGACACAGGACCTAGGCTGCGGAGAACTTGGTAATGCAGCGGTCTCCTGCGGGTCTCACTTGTCATCACAGCGCCCCCCTGCGAGGTAGTCTTGTTTTCGCAGCACCCCCCTGCGAGGATTATTGTTCACGCAGACCTATCCTGCGAGGTAGTCTTGTTTTCGCAGCACCTCCCTGCGAGGATTATTGTTAACGCAGACCTATCCTGCGAGGTAGTCTTGTTTTCGCAGCACCCCCCTGCGAGGATTGTTGTTAACGCAGACCTATCCTGCGAGGTAGCCTTGTTGACGCAGCACCTCCCTGCGAGGATTATTGTTAACGCAGACCTATCCTGCGAGGTAGTCTTGTTTTCGCAGCACCTCCCTGCGAGGATTATTGTTAACGCAGACCTATCCTGCGAGGTAGTCTTGTTTTCGCAGCACCTCCCTGCGAGGATTGTTGTTCACGCAGACCTATCCTGCGAAGCACCTTTTTACGCTCGCGGGGCTCATGGCAGCGAGGGAGCACAGTCTTACATCGCTGGGCTCGTGGCAGCGACAGCCGTGGTCACGGAAACTCTCGAGCCCGCAGGCAAGAGATGGACACTACGATGCATCAAAGTGTGAGGATCAAAGTGTGAGGACCGAAGTCCTGAGTTTTTTGGGCTGGGAATCCGGCCCCTTTTATAACTTTTGGTCAAGTCTCTACCATGGAACCATTGCGCCGAGGGTAGAGAGATCACTGTCCTTTGGTTGGCGTTGAAGCAAGTCGAACGACGTTGAAATGGTGTTTGGAGGATTTGTGGCCTATAGACTGAAGTTTCGACCTGGGATCATTTTTCTCAAATCTTGCGTTGAGTATGGTGAACCACTTTCATCAACTGTTGAAAGAAAGCAACGCCGCAAAAATGCGATTCCTACATATTGTTGAGCTTGCAATTAAATCGCTCAAGGCGGTGGCACTCTACATCTTCCTGTTTTAGCCACGGTCACCTTCTCTTTCATGAGGGGTGAAGTGCTTCAACAGATGCCAAAATAATAGGTTGGAACTTTTCTGGCTGACAGAAACGCTGGACTGTGCCTGCGGTTGGCTGGAGGATCCTTTGGTCTCGCTCGAATCAGTCCTGTTCATCCTTGGCCCCGCGCCGCTGAATGTTGTTTCTTCCTTGTCTACTCGCAGCCAGCTAATGTTGCTTTTACTAGAATCTCTACTCCCTTACCGCACAGATATTGACATACTCTCAAGCTCAGGATGAGGATTGTCCTTCTTTGGAGGGCATAAACAAAGCCCAGAGCTTATTGGAAAGTTTCCATAGGAAACCGAGCCTAGGACAACCATGTGAAATGTGCAACCAGGCCTACGAGCTAGGTTCGCGTGATCGCCACCCCCTCGCAAGATTGCAACGCTACTATCACATTGATGAGACTCTGGATACAAATAGCGCCCGACGGACCAATCAAACACAATGCGCGAATTTAGACAGACGCAGGTACGGTACTGCGATGCAGATCCCAGCGACGACCCACGGGACACTAGTTCAAGGAGGTTCTATTTATGGCCCGGAGAAGAAGTGAAGGATTTGCAAAGGTCCAGACCGATCCACAAGCCCAAACTTGACGGCCTCAGTGTCTGATGGAAAAGGACTTTGTTGCGTAGAGGGTACGGCCGAGGTACGGTCCAGGCGGGTGAGGTATTTGGAATATCGCGCGGAATTCTGGCAACAGAATGGTAGGCTAAATCCCGATCCGTGGTTATGCTTTCCTGGTTCCTGTCACAGGAGAATAATTCTCCTGTCAAGTGGCAAGTTGCTCCTTGTCTATCAGGTCTGTCGAACGTTCTAGAAGCTATGTCTTCTGTCCTGCATAAAGCTTCGCGTAAGAGAATACTCTCGTTGAATCCGACACAACCCCATCATCAACCCCATTCAATAACCAGTCCGATATGTCTAGCAGAGAGCTTGTAGAAACTATGCCAATCATGGACAGAATGAGCTAACGTAAAAATATCTCCGGGTTTTGCACCAAAACCAAGAACCGATTGGCTCCCGGATATGCATTGACGCTGTGGGTCGGCCCTCCTGCGGCCCCGAACTTTATTGCAATCGCCCTCCGCATTTTCAGACTCCAGCGACAGAGAATGTTTCTAGTACCGCGCTGGTCCAATGTCCTGTACATGAGCAGGTTGAGACTGTGGTGATTCTATGCCAATTCTCCGGACTTCTCTTTTACGCTGTAGGACTTAATCACGAGCAGCATAGAAAGCACGTGGAGCAGGAATTTGTAGATAAGCTTTTCTCGTCGATCATTCATGACAGCCGCATTCTCTCACCGTGTGACCGTTTCCATGGTTCATCGAAGTTCTATTTCAGGGTTCAGTGATTGATCGACGATCCCGGTCAGGTTCCACGGTCTTTGGGATAACATTTCTCAAACCATGGCCTTGTAACTTTCTCGGTATTGTTGTAATTCCAGAGAATGATGCTTGTTTATATTTTGAAAGTAGCTGAATTCATACATACAATCACTGAGATATTCATCATGCTGCGTCTTGATTGTTCAGCTGCCACATCCTCCGTTTGTAGCATCATCCAACAACACTAATTCATCGAGATAGTTACTATGGTTGTTCGGCGATCACAATGTAGCGCGCATGCCAGCGAACTGCTGATAGCATGGACGTTCCGCGCATCGGTATCTCATCTTCCTGGCTGCAGAGACACGATGTACGTAGTGCCAAATCTGCGATGACGATCGCGTTTCTTTACGCCGTGACGGACGGAGTAATGACATCGCGCGGCCTATGATTGATGATCAGCTTGTAACAAACGTTGGAAGAAGGTCAGCTCATACCTCGTCTCCAGCCTTCCGTCTTGGTTGATTCACTGCTGTCGATATGGCTAGGCTCGGCTGTTAAGATTGTTTGAAACCACTTTTCAATATTGCTTTGCGCAGGCCTTTTATTAGGGAGGGTTGCCAATGAACCCCTGCGGCCAACCGAGCGACGAACAGTTCCTGCTCGGTTTCGATTGCCTGAATGCTTAGGCGATGTGGCACCAGAGCGACGTTGCTTGCGCAAGATATGGTACATTTTCCCTCGTAGAGACTCAACGCTTCGGTCCACCTGATATTGTTCATAATATGCGTCGGAGCGGGCTTTCCACGACAGCGCCCGATGGGCATCCAGCCAGGAGAGAAGGTTCTTCTCTTCCCATTCCGACCAGACTACCTCGCTTTGAGGAGGCATAGCGCTTGCATGAACTAACAGGAACCAGAGAGACCTTTTCAGCAATGGCACGACTTGAACTCCACATGGATGGGAAAGGTGAGCCTAAATCCCCTCCCGGTCCCAGTAAAAGCTGAGATAGTACCCTTGGTTCATCTGAAATTTTCTGAAGGCTTGTGGCATGATCATGGACCACTCTGGACAGTCGCTTCGGTCAGTCTGAGTTGTACTCTATCGACTACGTATTTCAGAATCCCCCGGACTCCCAGCGCCCGAACACATTCATAGTTACAAGAACGACCACCCTTCAGTTTAGTACTTCTCAATATCTCGAACACAATGACTGTCTGTGGAAATGAACGTAGCAATGAGTTCTTAAACCGAGCCCCACCGGGTACTAAGGTAACATGAAACAGACTTCAGAGGCAAAAACTTTGCCTTCTGACGAAGTCCCTTCCTCTAAATTTGAATGACTTTCGTGCCTGATTGGCTAAAATGTATGCCAATTTAAGCGACGATTGCGGTACGTACTGATGGAAGATAGTGCGCCTTGCAAACCCTATCGCAAACACCGGTTTGGAGAGCAAATTCTTCATAAAAGGCTCAGCGACTTCTCCTGTAACATCCGACTTGAAAACTCGTTATCTTACTTTGACACAGATTCAGCTATGGGTGGAATTCGAAAACTTCCGTTTACTGATCAACGACAAAGCTTTCGGAGCCGATTACAACGTGCACTGTCCCTGTCATCCTCCGGATCTGAGGATATCTGGATTCCGCCCAGATCCACGGCGGGGGATATTACGGAGGACGAGCGTTCTCAGGAGGACGACTCTTTTGGCAGCGACCGCAATGGAATCACAGTGGATGATGGTCAGGAAAGTCTTCTGCCCACCTGGAGTACGGGCCCGAGACCAGACGAAGAACTGGAGCAACCCGGACAGAATCTCTCCGAGAACTGCAATATGATCGCCTTCCAATGTCTTGCAGAGTGAGTGTCAATCCGCTCCCCCGGAATGGTGTTTTGTGATATGCTTGCTTACAACGCTTAGACTAGATGTCCGAACGAAGTCAGTCGTGCGATCCACCCGAGAAAGAATGCAGGCTGATTATTTGCAGGTCCATGCAGAATTCATTGAATAACCAGAACAGCTGGATTGGAAACATTCGCAGTGATCTGGAGGAAATCCGCAGTCGGTTGGCGGTTGTGGAGACGGCTATTGAAATGAGGGCCAAAGAGGGGGAGAACAATGCTACTGAGGGTGATACATCTAGACGATCGCTTCGGTCGCAGAAGTGATTCAGATCGAAATATGATGGAATTAAGCCTATACCCTAGAGCCCGATGTCAGCCTTGTTAGCTGAGGTATATTATTCCGT